GAAAATCTTCACAGTTCTCAAAAACTAGAGCAACGTATATACATTTCTATTTGGGTCTACCATTACCCCTCTTAACGCCTGCTTGTATTTCTAAAATGTATCTAACTAGCCCTTCATGTCTGACCGATCTCGCCTACTTTTTACTGATTTTTGTGTAGCACCCTCTGTTCAGGAACTCTTTTTAAAGCTTCATTTCTAGCCATTTCTATATATAGTATATATTAATATCGTATTAATAACATCACATCTGAGAAACACATCTGGCATTTTTTATGCATTGTTCATCGTACACGTTCCACAAAAAATTTGCTGTTCGTTTCGTAATTCGATAAATTAATTCACCCGTCAGTCTGTCAAAATCTGTTCTGTCAACTGTACCATGGTAAATAGGTATGCAACATTACAATATTGTAGCGAGCACGAGCGTGTTTGTGTGCGATCGGGCATACGTGTGTGTGAGCGGCTTATCGATTCGCCAACTAGCCGCGGGCGCCTTTCTTCATGTGCGCCGTATTTGTAAATGTGTGTGTCGTATCTGCGTTCTGGGAAAGCAATTAAGCAGTTCAAAGAAGAAGAAACTTTTCCGGACGGTTCGAGAAGGTTCCCGAAAGGAAACAAAAGAGTATATAAAGGAAGAGACGATCGCCGAAGAGAGAGTAGAACTAATTTGACTGTTGCAGAACTGAATCGAGAAATAAATGGACAGTGATAGCAGTGAAATAAATAGCGCAGTGAATAGTGATATACCAAAAGCAGTGTAAATAAATAGAATAATTCATCACCTAAGTTTAGTAATAATTTAATAGTGTTTTAAGTTCCTTAATAATTAGTGTAAATAAATAGTTTTGTCGTTAGCAGTCTTAAAAGTTAATTTTGTTAAACCCTCGAACATTACAATATCATACAATCTTGTTTGACCCATCGTTCATCGAATGCAAGTTCTGTAGAGTCTCTCAAGACGTTTTAGTGTTGAAAAACTTTGTTCATTCGTATACAAATTTAAAAAATTCGCTTACAATAATACTGATTATCAAATTGCTTTCTTGCAAAAAATCGACTTTTCTATGTTGTTCTACATTTGCAATTTTTACTTGATTTATTAATAAAAGAACTTTAATAACATTTACCTAAATACCTGTACATCTTAGAATCCTTCTAACTGATCATAAAATGAGTACTCACAGGTTTAGCGTTAGGGGTAAACATATCTGTTCTGTTCTTCCTTTCACAGAAGACTAATTATAAAATATTTATATTAAATGTACTATTTCACTTATTCCCTTTATCGGCAAATATGTAAACCTTTTCTTCAAAACTACATAATAATTATAAAATTTAGCCTCTTTGTCCACATAATCTTCTAGAAATAAGTTTGAAACCTTTACAAATTACAACTTTTAACAAAGCACTTTTCACAGCTGGACATCTGACTTTGGTTATGAGCGGGTTTTCCAAAATTTACTTTATTATATAGACGCGACCGTCTTATAACAATAGATCTTTGTCACAGGTGTTAATGTACACCAAAGAGATATTTCCCAAAGCTCCAATCATTTTTAACATGTGGTTTTTCCAAAAACTACTGAAAACTTCAAACAAAAAATAAATTTAAAACGAAACAAGGTAGAAGGAGGTATTCTTGACAAAAAGTTTAAGTTTAGTTTTAAAGCCTTTTTTAAATAATCTGGAGTTACTCATATTTTCCAAAGCATATTTTATTGTCGTTATAATGGTACGATATGGAAGTTTAATTTTGGACATGTCGATAAAAAAATCCATTTTGAGGATTTTTTATTTTCTTTCTATTCTTACTTCAGCTAAATAAGATATTTTGTAACGCAATTGCATTTTTGTCACACCTTACTCAACCCGCAGTAAGTGAAAGTATTAACAGCATATAATAATCCTTTGATATTCCTAATAATTATTATTAATTTTGCTTTATTTTCATTTCTGATAGTAAATAAATTAAAAAAAAACTGTTATAAACAAAACTAAAAGCTTATATTTTTAAAAAAAAAACAGTTTGGTACATAATGCTATTCAAAAGCACATTTCTTTTAACATTTTTGAAATTTTTCTGTTTCCGCAATTTACACTCATTAATTTCAGCCTGTGAATATGATGTGCCAAAAATGTAATTGCATTACAAATACTTTATTCTTTAAATGAATAATAATATGTTTAAAAAATAGTTCTACTATAGATAAAAGCGAAAACATGCATGAAGATTTTGTGATTATTATTTAAACAGTTACTTTTTTATTACTTTCTTTTTCGTGTTCAATACCTTTCGTAATACATTATTTTGTAAAAGGCCTCTACCTACTTCTGTAGTCTACTACAGTGATTTCTAATCGTAAGACTTTTCATTTAGCGTTCGTTAACGCATTTAATCAAGAACAATGAAGATCATTATGAATATAAATCAATAAAACACTGTCTAGCCCGTTAGAGTAACCTTTTATTACACCCTTTCGAAAGCACTTATACGTTTGTCCGTTTATACGAAGTTACCGTATGAATGTACTTGAAACAATTGGGGAACCAAGAGTCATCAAGAGTCAAAAGCTGGGTCAGTTTTTTTCGCTATTTATTTTCCCTTGTGACAGCTAGTACATTTTACAGAGTCTGATTCATGACTTTTTAATTAATTGCTACTTTTACAACTAAGTACATTAATATATTTATATTTTCTTTTGTGAAGATGTTGATTAGATTTCAAAGGGACTTTTTACAAGGAAGGAAAATTCTAACTGGGTAAACTTCTTGTAAGAAAAAGTATTATTATTATGACACAAATTTTACTTATGCTTTGTTGCTGTAACTATAATGATTAACCCTTTGTAACGTAACGAACTCTTTATACAGAACTAAAATGCTAAATTCGAAAATGAAATCGGGATGTCAAAATTCATCAGATTCTGTAATAAAAAATAAGGTTTTCTATTTAAAAAACAATGTGATATCTCAAGTATTTGCCGTAACAAATTAAAATAGGACACTAGGCATGTACTGATGTTAATTCTTTAATTTAATAGGAAACTATAATATTCTGCAATATGGAAATTATTTTCAAAATTGTAATTAAACTATCTCCTCCATGATCTAAAAAAATAATTCTCAAAGAAATGAGATTTAAAAGCAAAATAATATGCATTGCTCCTAATATGTAGAATATTCACCTAATATTTTGTTTTTTTTTTTCATTTGACCCTATATATATTTTTGAAAGATCCTTTACTTGGGACTTAGGTTAGGTTAGGTTAGGTTATTTGGGGCTTAGGTAGATACGAACAAAGATTGTAGAAGGGGGCGCATTTTTATTACAAATTATTATTCAAAACAAAACCAAATTAAGGAAAAAATAAGTATTGTATTGTAGTTTCGCATTTCGTGTAGAGTTTCTTCAAAGGTACTTACATATTGTAATTCTGTAGGTATAAATGAAAGGATTACCTTCCTAAATTTTGTTTTTTAACCGAAACATTAATTTGCATTTGTATACAAACAGTTAAATTTCTTTTACAGCATAATTTACGTACCTATAGGTATATAGACTGATTCTTTTTGAACATATTCACCCTCCTGAATCCGCCTCTGTCCGGTCACATTTGCGACAATAATAATGGTAATAATGGCCGTTGAAGCTAAAGGGTTGTTGCTTCGGTTTTGTTTTCCAGAATAAGTTCTTGGCCTTTGTGCTATAGTCGCTGGAATTCTCTCGTGGCAGCCCGAAACAATAACTCGGCCACTTTGGACCGACTTACTTACAATTAGTCGATTTGCTTTTGTATTCGCTTTTTGAACTGGAAATATTTAAATTAGGGTAACTTTTCTTTCACTGTTTGAATGAGCAGATAATAAGTACAATTCGTAACGCTCGGTAACCATTTTTTGTTGGTTACGATTCTTTTTTATTTGATATATAACGGAGGTATTTATATAGACTTCTAGACATTCACACTTATTGTAGATAGATATATGCATTGTTCAAAAATGTTCTCTCAAATTCTGAATTGGAAATATTAATTAGAAAAACTTGTTGTACTTCACTTATTAATTTATTTGGACCCAAATGACGTGGTTAAAGGTGGTGACTCGCAGTTCGAAATGTTATCAAAACCAAAAAAGTGTAAGTTACACGAGTGCTTTTACTTATATTTTTGTGTTAATTCTAATTTTTTAGGGAAGATTTGACCCAATCCAAACGCGCTTTCTTTAAAGCTATGATAACAAAAATGGGCAAAACTTGAGTATTAGATTTTAGACATTAAGTAGCTTGTATTAGATACACTTATTTTTCAAATGTATTAATATGATGTCCAATGTGTTCATAATATCTAACTCCCTGATGGAGATTGGCTAAATTTTTGTGTGAAGTTATTTAGATAGAAGAATCAATGTAGGAGCATCACCTGTTTGTTTTTTAATTAATCAATCTTGAGAGGTATTAAAACAACAATCGCATAGAATGAGAATTGAATACGGAAGTGGAATTTAACCATTTTAAGTTAAAAAAATAATAATTCTGCAACATTTATATATATAAGTTGCCATGACCATAAAAGGTGCGGTAATAAAAAACGAAGTTTTAATTAAACATTAATTCAAATAGGAAAATTATGAACTGATAATTCAAAAACCGTTAAACCTTCTGGTTTCCAATTAAGATTTTTTTGTAATATTTCTAAGAATATTGCAAGAATTAGCCATTATGTTTAGGTTAGGTACCTATATGGATAAACTAAATTGAATCATCCGCATTCATTTAAGATAATTTTTATGTATATTTTTAATGAAATATGAACTGATTATCCGTAATTCAATCAATTTCTGAGTTGCTCTTTAATGAATATATACTCATGTACTCATTTGGCAAATGATCACATTACGAATTAATATCGTTATTTACCTATTAATAAAATTAATCAAACATGAAAGACTAAAAATTAAAAAAAATAACACCTAATTTGCTATTTAGGCATTCGTATATTTAGATCAGTTTTACATTTTAGTCGCCTCATCATGGATATAACATTTTATTAATACAGTGGCAAATAAATTTACAACGATAATGATAATATAACATTCGACCTTATCATCTATTCTAATCTACATACGTAGTATATAGCTAAGATTCGGTATTTACATCAGTCGAAAATCACAGAAATTAAATTGATACTTCATACTTAATAACGAAGGTACGTACCTACCGTCATCCAACCAGGTAGGTACATACCTATATACATCATATTTCCAGTTTACACATCGCGCGCATTTCGTACTTAAAGAGCATTCGATGATCGAAAAGCAAAAGAAAATGCTCACAAACAATATTAGGTTATGAGATCGCTCAATGGGGCGCTTTGTCTTTCAAAAACGAAAGATCTCTGTCGTCGCACTTGTCGAGAACTACCTGACCGTAGTAAATATACATAGATATACATATTATAATATAAATACATACTAAATAATTGGCATTACGTAAAAATCAATCACTAATAAATAACAGGAACTGGCCTCCGCAATTCTAAGTCTGTGCTAGCGGGACTCGTGCTGGGACTCGAACCAGTGGAATACATGAGGTGGTTGTTTGGAACGGTGGAGAACATTCCCATGTGTCCCGCCGCGTGATGAGAGTAGTTTTTCGCAACAACTGCACTATTTTGATATAGCGACGGATAGAAAGGTGAATGCAAAGAGGTTACCACAGCGTTCTGATTGTTGGGTGATTTTTCCGCGGGAGGCACCATCCTTGAAATGTCGAATGTCGGACTAAAATATGGATATGGGGTTCCTAACGGGTCTACCGTTGGGAAATACGGAAGCTGGAAGTTGGGGAAACCCATGTTGGATTTGAGTGCCGTCGGGAGTGGGCCTTTGGGTTTCCTTCTAGGCCTGTATTTGTAGTCTGGATGTTCTTTCATATGTAACGCTCTGAGTCTCTTGGCTTCGTCAATGAAAGGCCTCTTTTCCACTTCTGACAACAATTTCCATTCCGCTCCTAATCGTTTGGATATTTCGGAGTTGTGCATCTTTGGATTGTCGAGAGCAATTTTTCTGCGTTGTATCCGGGACCAAACCATGAACGCGTTCATGGGTCTCTTAATGTGCTCTTCTGTTCTACTGGAGTTGACGTGACAGTCATCCATAACCGTATTTCCGAAACCGAATAGACCAGCCATTGCACTAACAATTATCAATATCACACTAAACCTTGAACAACTGTCGCACAATCGGATCGGAAGAGAACTGACCGATTTTAACGTGTTCGGTTAGTGTAGCGTGCTTCTGGAGGCGCGGGCGAATCCGAGCCCACCCTTAGGTACCTCCTCCTTTTTTCATGATTGGTGCACATTTTGCCCCACCGTATCATTAGCTCCCAGTAAACGCGTCTTCATTATTAATTTATTTTTTTTTTAATGTTGCGGTTAGCTTTTAATGTTCTTGTAAAATAGTTTGCTCATTGCAAATTTAATTTTTACTATTGCTTTTGGAAGACGCATATGAACATATCGTTCCGCACTTCTTTTCATAGTCACCTCAGTGAGTAGATTAAGGTAAAACATCATGATGAACTTACGTGGGTATCATAAAACTGGAAGAAAATCGGACTTTTAAAAATTTCTTCCTGTCTCTTGTGTTATTGGTTCATCATCTTGGAGCTACCACAGAATATGCAAAGCGGTGTTCCAGATGCTTATTACTAACAGACAATTCCAGGTGTATACAGATTCCACCTTTGTAAGAGTACATACTTATTACAATTGTCCGTTTTCGTAAGAGTGAAGAAATCTCATCTTCCGATCCTCCAGGCCCTCAATTTTATTCATTTTTTATCTAGAGGAGCATTTACCTATTGTTGTTCCTCAATGTGTGAGGTACAAACTCATTTTCTGCAGTTCGTTTGTAATCAAAATAGACTTCCACACTGAACTAGGATACGTTTCAGATAGGTAGCTGGCCATTATGCAAGTGCTGTAACCAATCCAACGACGCACCGACGGCATATTCTTCTGTAGCATGTAGCTACTCATTATTGTGATCGTTTTGTTTGGGAGAGTACTTGTACATCTAATACGTGATAATTCTTTCTCCTAAAGAACATGACCATCCCTGGAATATACCCTATAGAATAGGCACATTCAGGTGTAAGCAGGTATATGAAATTGGCCAGTACTGATGTCTGTCATACCCTTCTGTAGCGTGTAGCTACTCATTATCGTGATCGTTTTGTTTGGGAGAGTTTTTGTACATCTAATACGTGATAATTCTCCGAAAGAATAGGACTATCCCTGAAACATATCCTATAGGTGGTATAGGACATATTTAGGTATGGGTATATGAAATTGGCCAGTGCTGATGTTGGTCATACCTTTTTGTAGCGTGTAACTACTCATTATTGTGATCGTACATCTAATACGTAATAATTCTCCTAAAAAATAGTACTATCCCTGGAACATATCCCATAGGTATAGGACCTAAACAGGTATGGGTATATGGAACTAGACAGTATTGATATTTGTATTTGAACAGTTCGATGACAACAGTGGGGATATGCTTATTGTTATCCTTGGAAATATTTTGATCCCTTTAGGTATATGGATTTTGATTTATTTATTATTCTTGGCAAATTGTTAATTTTAATCAACTCAGTATATCTACTGTATAATCTTAATTTGTATTTCTTCATACATTCATATTTTGAATTTTCTTTTCAATTGGATTCAATTACTTGCCTTCCTGTTTTGAAAAAGATTAAGATATTCGTCGGTATTATCAAAGCGTTCATAAAAGTAGTCCTAATAGTGTGAATATCATATTGAAATCTTGGATAAACAACAAGCCCATTTAATATATGAGCTGTCGTCGATCTTACCACTCTCCACGCCTTCGTAATTAATTGCGGCCCCTGTTGTGATGCACTAGGCGCTTGTTTCACAGCGCCCCTCCAAACGTGACACGTGCATCGTTTGCAAAACGTAAACCATGACAGTGTCAGATTCACATATTTAAGATGCATTTAATTTTATACAAAACACACAAGCACAATAGAATTTCAGTATATGTACACACCAGAATTGAAATGGAATACAATTCCAAACGAAAGTAAAACTACATATTCTTAGGGTTGCGCTAGAAAAGCCGCGGATAATCGATATGTGGGTAGTGGCGGGTCAAGTTAATAAAATGTAGGAAATGAACACGAAGTTTAAGAAGCGTAAAAGCAATTTATTAACAATTAACGTGAACATTAAACATACCTAAGAAAATACAAAACGATTAAACAAACGTATTTAAAACGGAAATAATAACACTTAAGAATTTTGATGCACTAAACTACATGATGTTGACTAAAAACGGATGAACCTTTTTTATTGTATACCCTGAAAACGATTGCCGTGTGGAGACGCGATTGCATTAAAACCCCATTGCCAAAATATACCTAATACGTAATTGTAATTATCAATTTACATTTGCACTACTTTACTTTTATATTCAAATAGAATTTTTAACAAAATTACTTTCCACACATAAGCGCGAAACGAACAGAAAGACGTCGTACCTAATGTAACCTACTATGGCTTGACAGGTAACCAACATCAATGAACATAGTGATTGATAATAACACTAAACGGTGGTGTCTACGTAACCAAACGGCAAACAATACAATCCTTTTTGTACGTAAAATTTACAAGTAATGATATTTTAATTATACTCAAAAATAAAGTAGGTAATATTCAATTACAAATAAATATTCTACAAATAAAACTTAAGTTACGAATAAACCCTTTAATGATAAAAAATTAAGAGTTGAAACAAACGATTTGTATTACAATATATTATTACATAATTCCATTTTATAAGGCTTATGTATTATACTTTGAAGTTTAGATCGTTTAACGATTTCTATGATTTAATGCCTACATCGGAATTTAAACTTTAGTAGCTGAATCACAATTCTTCTCTAAACTTGTTGACTTGTCACACATATGCTCCTCAGAGTGCGTTGCAGATTATGCAGGTATTACAGCTAAGTCATCGTCATAAGGTCGTCAGTCCTAAGACTGGTTGGACACGCACCTCCACTCCTTCCTATCCTGAGCTTATCTTCGCATTTCCCTAAAACTAGAACATCCTACATCCTTAAGTATTTGCGAACAGTAATCTAATCTACACCTCCTAACTTCCATTTCTATCTCTAATATGTCTAATGAGACCTTCATGCCTAGGAAGGCGTCCTACCAACCTATCTTGCTTATTTTTTATTGACATCCATAAAGTCCTCTATTCTCATATTCATTCTAAAACCTCTTCATTTCTAACCTCCTCTATCCGCCCTATCCTCACGATTTGTCTGTAACACCACATTTCGAACGCTTCTAACCTTTTTTTTTCGCTGCGCCCACCGTCCCACCTTTAATAATCTTTTTCGAATTTCTAAATAATCGTTCGCGAGCATAGAAGTGACTTCTTTTTATTGAAGATGACTCGACCCTGCACTATTCTCTCTTTTATATCCCTACTACACCTTCCGTCCTGACTTATCTGACTTCCTAGATACCTAAAATCAGCCACTTATTCTTTTAATCATTCGTCTCCTACCTTCACATTCGCTCTTTCCCTACTATTTCTTCCCTTGCGTACCAACTTTTTTTTTACTTTTATTTATTTTCGTACAATACTGCTTTGTCAATATAGCTATGTAACTATTAAGAATTGTGAAGGTAGTAAAAAGGTATAAAAGAGTAAAAAGTCCACGTGGTTACGTGTTGGTGTGTCGATTTATGAAAAATGGAAATCCTTAATCCTGGAAAAAGTCCATTTCCGTGGGCTGCGAAATAAAATGCGCGCCTCCACTGCCACATTGTGTGGCGCTGAATTTACAAAGCATTCGAAAAGATTTCAATATATACAATATAACGAACACAATGTGCATTTGAACATGTATGTGTAAGTGTATACGTCAGGTTGACGGCGCTCGCGGGACGGGGATGGAATGAGGGGGTGTTACTGTCTGCTGCTGTATACATGAGGTGTTGATATTTTGTATACAGAGAATTCGATTGAATGGCTGCCGATTTTGCTTTGTGATGAAAATTTACACTCGTGCACTCCAAGTCACGTGGATATGTCAGTTTCCGACGGAGGACGTTGCTGCCGAGGCGTTGGCGACGTCGTCGGCGACTACAACGGGCGTCGGTTCAACTCGGGAAGTTTTATCCACTTTCGATTCAATTTAATTCGTCCTTTGTTGGCACTCGGGGGTCCTTCTTTCTTCCATTCGCCTCGCACGCCTCTTTCCCCTTATTCCATACTTTAGTTACTTAGGTACTTACTTACTTACTTACTTATTATACGACTGCTGCTGCGTTTACCCTTTGCAGGAGAGAAGCCTTTATCTTAACTTTTTGATAAATTTGTTTTCGGAAAAGTAAACTTTCAAAAGAAATAAATGCATTTAGTGAAAGTTTGATAATGACGTATCGGATTAACAAAAGAAACGTAACTTATTTTAGATCCATACAAAATTGCAAACCTCGCTGTTTCCTTAATGTAAAAAGACGAAATATTTTAACTAAACATTGAATGGTAAAACCTGTAGCAATAAAGAAGGATGAAGAGACATGACACTCCAACTCAAGAAAAGCCTCACTCGGGTTAACCATCATCATTCGTGAAAGCCTGAGACCTTTATTGGTATACCATTTATGTTTCTACTCAGTGCTTGCCATTCTTGGCATCTTTAATTAACGTCACCATCGTGAATAGTAGAGAGAATGGATTGCATTTCAATTCATCTTCAATAAATAACAATTAACTGACTACGAGTGGATATAATGATCAAAGATAAGGTTAATAAGTTAACAAGGTTGAACCTCACATAAAGATTGACGTGAAAGAGTGAAATGCAGTTTTAATTGTTGATTTTATATCAACTCTGGAGCATTGAACTCTAGATCACCAAACATTTAACAATGTTATTATCTCTTTCCCCTCTTATAAGTATATGTTTGAACTAAGCAAGTGAATTTGCGTTACTTGGGGCTAAGAATTACGCGTATACTACTTGCCCATCATCCTCTGGATTCTTCACAAAAGTGATACAAGTTTAATGGAAAACAATTTTAAACTTAAAAATTACTGTAGATACCCAATATTCGAGGTATTCGAATGTATCAAGAATTGTTCTAGAGTCTAGCCATTATTAAAAATTATAATACNT